TTAGTCTTTCGCATATGTCGAAATATTTCATGATCAACGGCGTCTACTGTACCCTGTAAATTAAGCTTGCATCTGCAAATAAACGTTTTTTTCGCACTCAGGCTATAAACAATGTACAAAACAGAACGAATCAACCGACATGACAGATTTTGTGGAAAGCAGCTTAAACGGACTGTTTCCACTGAAATTAATGATACTCCTAAACCGGACACATGTGATCGAATTTCGAATGAACAGCCTCGCACCAATAGAAGTAATGGAGTGTGATTTGACGCGGGTTTTACGTGAAGAAGAAATAATGCAATTTCAGTGTTTAGCAGACATCCGCAAAAGTAGTGTGAGTTTTATCGAACAGGTGAGAATTCATTTACTTCCCATTGGTATGGTAGTCGGCGCAGAACCGACTCTTCTCGAAACTGCTAATGATTTATCATAAATTCGAATAATTCGTTAAGATGCATGTCCATCTTTATAACTTAATGGCCTCGTTTCTTCTAAGGAACCTGGATTCATGGGACTTGGACTAGTTCCAGCGGAGGATGCTCGAACTCTATATGTTGCGTTAATAAACGTACAAGCGAGGGCAACAGTAACTTATTACTACGGTGAGGCGCATTCAAGAACACTTCGTTTGACGGGGCTTACATTCCTTAATCTCACAGAAATGGCATTTGACGCCGCGGATGTAACGAGCGATGAGGCCTATGCAATGTGGCGCCTAAGTATGTTAAATTTGCTAGCACGTTTAACACGGGAATCATTTTACAGAAGAGATACGATGTCTTGTACTGTTTAATATAAATCTGATAAAAGTTCAATCTGTCCCTTTTTGATAACCTACATAGTCTGTATAGAGCCTATCGGTTTTGCTATTTTGTTCCTCTGTATGTCCCGTACGACTGACATGTAGACTTCATAACCGGTCATTCAAGTGCTGCACTAGGTGGGCTTTTGTCGGCTGGGTTGGGTGGGGTACAAGACTATAACACGGTACTTTTAAGGCGAAGCTGGTTACGTCCGCGCATATACCACGCCATAGCTGAGGAGAGTCTGGCGGCGCTACTACGTGTAGGCTCAGGCTGCCCACGCCACATGGCCTTATGCCAGTACTAAGTAGTAGACTGTTTTGGGCTGCGAACTAGCCTATGGGAGAGGGAAGAGACGTTTACATAAA